GAGGGGGGGTATTGGAGTATGATTCCTATATCAATTAGGAATCATATAAACTAGATTTAGATAAGCTTTAATATGTTTTTCCTATTCTATTTAGGTTCTTTATGATTTTCCTGTTATGACTTAGCTTATCTTGGTATATAAACCAAGCTTATTCATCAATAAAATCAACTTACTTTTGATCCTAAACAAGAATTTGTCACAAACCGAACATATACTTTCCAAAAAATTACATGAACAATAACTCATCATCAGACCATAAGAGCTTCTGATCATCATAGGATGCCAAACCTTCAAAAAGAGAATCAAAATCAAAATCAAGATCTTCCAATCTTCTTTCTGCAGGAGATACAGAGTGGTTGTTGTTGGAGGTGTTCTCAGACACAACAACAGGCGGTGGTACTGCATCATCATCATCACCAAAATCTTGGAGGAGTTGAGTAAGTTCCATCTCGCTCCATTCATCCAAGTCATCGTCAGGTGAAATCTCAACCTTGTCCTCGTCCTCATGCTCCACCGTTGGTGTTAAGGTTTGATCCTTCAATGCCTTGAGATGGCTCATGAGTACTTCCATTGACTCCATCGCTTCCATAATCTCTTCCGGATTCTTAGAATTGACAAGTTTCTCGTCTTTCCACCAAAACCCTAACCCTAGATCCATGCGAGACATACATATACCTAAGTCTTCTCTCATCGCTTTGGTATCACTCGAAACAGGAGGAGGTCTCTTTCTGGATAGATAAGCAGAGACGATGGACTCAACGGAGGAGTGACCAAAGGAGAAGAGAGAAGCGTTGGAGTTTGAAGACGAAGGAGTCGCTAAGATGGCGATTTGAGCGTCGGAGAGAAGGCAAAGCTGAGCCGCTTTACTGTAGAGACCGTCTCTGCGTTTGGAGAAAGTAGTAGCTCGCGATGCTTTGTCAATGATCTTCTTCATATCTGACTTCCTCTTCGTACCTCCTCTTTTCACCATTCTTTCTTTCTTTCACGAGCAAACAAACCCTAATTGAGACGTGAGACGAGAGAGAATGTATAGACTCACGAACAAACGAAACCCTAAATTTTTAATCTGAGACAGAGAGTCGAGAGAAAGAGTTTGTGTGTAAGATTTAAGAAGATATCGAAAAGTATAACAACAATCTCTTTCTCTCTGGATTATATAGACTCCGTCTCCGTGGATTGGGTAATTAAATTATTCCACATTTGCCCCTTTTAACTCCCTCCCCTTCCCGTAATCTATCCCTTATGCATTATTTTGACACTAGGTGTCTTGCCCGCACTTGCGGGCATAATTATCCTATGAATATTTATTAATAGAAATTAGTTTTAATTATATAATCAATAATAAATTAAATTACAGAAATTCTGATAAATGATAAAAAAAATTACCTAGGATCATGGAGACAAATCAACAAATTCACTTTTCAAATAATTATTTTGATGATTTATAATTAATTATTAATAATATAATTTTCTATCTTAATTTTAAGTTTTATAATAAAAAATATATTTTCAAGATAACAATATAATCCATAATGATTATCTTATTTTAGAAAATATTAAATTATTAATATAAATTTTTTTTAGATAAATATAATAGTGTTTATATCTTAATTTAAAATTTAAGTTTTATAATAAGAAAATATATTTTCAACATAACAACATAATCCATAATGATTATCTTATTTTAGAAAAATATTAAACTATTAATATAAATTCGTTTTAGTTATATTTAAATACTAAATTATTAATATAATTTTTTTTAGATAAATATAATAGTGTTTATATCTTAATTTAAAATTTAAGTTTTATATATAAAGATATATTTCAGGATAACAACATAATTCACAAGAATTATTTTTTTTACTAAAAATATGATATATTCATATAAATTCGTTTTATTTATAATTAAAAAATTACCTAAACTTATGGAGAACATGACAACTAAGCAAATTTACTTCTTAAATAATAGTATAGATCTATCATCACCAAATCAATTTAATCAAAAAATTTATGACACGTCGCTAGTAATGATAACATAGCTAGTGATATGTATATTTACATTTAATATTAATATATATTTTTAGTAAGTTTTTAGAATATGATAATAATAACTCATAAATTATCATTAACATAATAATAAATAATATAATAGTAGAAATAGAAATATAACAATATCTACAAATTTTGAAATATTTTTCAAGTCTATTTTTAATAATTGTATAATTTTATTAATATTTTTTGCAAAATTTTATGGGGGATTTTATAAAATTATAATTTTCTAATCCCAATATCGTTAGTTTTATTTATAACATCTATAAATTTTAGAAATATTATTTAATTTTATATTTTAATAATTATATACCTAACAAAATTTTCTTTTAATTGTATATAATCTGATTTAACATATTTTAACCAAAAGAATAAAGATAAAAAAATCTTTCCAAAGTTTTAGTTTTAAATATATACATATATATTATTAAATATAAATTAAAATAAAAGTTGTTTATTTTATCTTAATTTTTATTTATAATTAACGTAAAATTAATAATGTAACAAAATAATAAATTTAAAAATTAACTAAATTTTATTTTAAAAACTTCTATTTTTGTATGTGGTGCAAGAAAACACTTAGTAAGTAATCAACAATTAACTAACTTGCAACATTTCCTTGTTTTTAAAACAAGGAAAACGAACCCACACAGACCGGTTATTTTAAACATAACTCGTACCTGAAAGATGATGAAATTCCCTTGAGGAATACAATCTTATTTACAGGACCTTTATAGTCAAGTGTTACAGAATCATAGGAGAATATACGAGAATATACTGGTACAAAATCTAAGCTATATAGATTTTATACTAACAGAATATCTACATTCTATCACCCTCCCTCAGTCACATTGTCGGGGTTGGAGACAGTGAGATTGGTTCTGAATTCATTGAAGAGAGAGGTGTGAAGACCCTTTGTAAAGATGTCTGCATACTGATGTGAAGAAGGCACATGAAGCACACGAACTTGACCCATCGCTACCTTTTTCTCAAACAAAATGTATATCGATCTCTATATGTTTTGTACGTTGGTGTTTCACCGGATTTTGAGAAAGATACACAGAGCTTATGTTGTCGTAGTAAACTAGAGTAGCCTTAGTTATTGGACAACAAGATCAAGTAATAGGTTGCGTATCCAGCAGAGTTCAGCCACCGTATTTGCTACACCTTTATACTCTGCTTCTGCACTTGATCTTGATACTGTTTGTTTTCGTTTTGTCGACCAAGAGATGAGATTTGAACCTGGGAACACACATTACCCGGAAGTGGAACGACGAGTGTCTGGACAACCGGCGCAATCGACGTCTGAGTAAGCAACGAGTTCGTTGATACCATGAAAGATGATGAAATTCTTTTGAGGAATACGATCTTATTTACAGAACATTTATAGTCAGTGTTACAGAATCATAGAAGAATATACTGGTACAAAATCTAAGCCATACAGATTTTATACTAATAGAATATCTACCAGTAACTCGAAATTTTGAAGATTTAAATTGGTTAACTCAGATTCAAACCAGAAAGAAATATTAGATCGGTTACACGCATGGTGAGGTGTTTCCGAAATACAAGTAACAGTAGACGGGTAATTAGTTTAAATAAATTGAAAACTGTATGAAGTGTTGTAGTTTCTTTCTGAGGGAATAAAAAACAACATGGTGTGTCTTTGCATCAAAACACACAGAATCAATACGACAAGTAGTTAGTGCTAAACAGAGTCTTAGTACACAGAAGAATCGAACATCAGCTTGAGAAAGAGAGAAACCCTAAACCCTAATTCTTCAGAGAAGAATGTGGAAGAAAGGGGAGCTAGTTTGGGTGAGATTAAACCCTTCGGATTCTTCATGGATTCCGGGTCGGATCATTGATCCATCCGAACCGTTTGGAATCCTCGTTTCGTTCTTCGACCTAATGGAACCAAGCTACGTTCCTAAACTTTGTCTCCGAAGCTTCGAGCGCGATTTCGAAACGTTGATTGCAGATTCGTGGAGGTACCGCCACTTCGTGAACAGAGCTCTGCAAACGCACTTCTCCAATATCTCCTTTGGGCTATGGTGTTCTTGCCAACGGCCCTGGATCGATTCGCCCTACTTGGACAGAGAAATATCTCTCCCTGGGTCTCGTCTTAGTTCAGATTCGGCTCTGGGATTTGTTCGAGAGATGGCCGTTTCGCGACGAGTGTCTCTTCGGAGATTAGTTGAGACCAACAGTTCCACCGCTCAGATCCTTAGCTTTAGGCGTTACACTGTTGATTTCAATCTCTCCGAATCTGTCTATGAACAAGTTAGAGAAAGTAAGTGTGCGAAAGTTTCTACTTTTTCTGTGGTTTTATAGTGTTATTGTTCTTAGTGCTATGCTGAGTTTAGTTAGGAGAGTAAACTCATTTGGTGTTTGCAACTGATTAAGGCAGATTAGTCGTATTGTTTCGTTTGATTAGTTCTAGAGGGACATAAAGAAGCAAGGTGAAAGATTGATACACATTCACTGCTTTTGAGTTTTTTGTATTCCTCAAATAGTTTTTTTCATTGTGTGTGTACAGGTGCTAAGCTAATGGATCGTGTAGAGGAACCAAATTGGTGTCTTGACCCCTCTAACAAGATGGACTGCACTGGCGACATAGTTCCTCCTATGTTTCCTGGGACAGAACACGACAGTAATGATTTAAGTCTAAAAGATCCATTGCCCAAGGATATCCCTTGTTGTTCTGTTGAGCAGCCTGTTGATAAATTAGTTCAGAGTTGCACTTGGAATACGAGGAGGCCTCTAGTCAACTCTGATTCTAGCGTTATGAAAGCTTGTGCAGCCATGGCTCGAACATCTAATCATGAGGATGCAGCTCACCTTCTGAAGAGCAGAGAATACTGTGAAGTTGAGCAGAGTATATGCTTACAGGATTCAGAATCTCCTATTGAGGATACAATAGAGGAAGATACCACTCCTGTTACGGCCCCAATAGAAATACCTCCTGATGTTATGATTGAAACGCATGATGTCATCATGCGTTCACACGATAGAACTGTGACATCAGCGGCAAAACAGTTGTCACCCTTGCTTGATGCGAGTAACGACAAGGCTTTTCTCGCAAAGCCTGTTTCTTTTGTTGTTCTGGAAGCCTCAAAAAATCTAGCATGTTCAGTGGAGGATACAGCTGTTAACCCAAGAAGCAAGCTTGATAGCTCTTTTATCAGTGCCAACACCCTGGATGTGGATCTGTCAGATAGGAATAATTGCAATGGAACACGTGAGAACTTCCCTGACGATGCATCAGAGTCCCATTTTGTGGACGTAGGACAGGTTTCTATACATACTACCGGCTCTTCAAACAAAGAGTTCGGTTCTGATGATGTTGGCATTGCACCTGCAGAGCAATTACTAGACTTGGAAGTTGCAACAACTCTCAAGGACAAGATCAGCGCAGTTGAACCCATTGGGGTCAAAAGGAAAAAGAGTCGAGACAAAGCAGCTGCCAAGAGAAGGAAGAAAGCAAACCAACAATCTATTTCTGTTGATAAACCCCAGAATCTACAGGTGTTGAAAGCTAAGCTTCTTGCTGATCCAAAATGCTTGCGAATGAAGTTCTTGAGTAGTTCACATGTGAATCTCCCATCCAAATCAGAACTGTTGAAGAGATTCAGCGTGTTTGGGAAAATAGATGCCTCAAGAACTGATGTAAACCCAGGTCAAAGCTCTGCGAAAGTAGTATTTCTACGGAGCATAGACGCAGTGACAGCTTATCAATTCGCAAGGAGCAAAAAGTTTAAGCTAGGACGGTCTAAGGTAGTGTATCGGCTCCATGCCTTTGAGGAAGACATTGAAGTAAACAAAGCTCCTTTGTCTCAGAAGCCTATACAGTCTGTTCCATCACCAAGATCATGTCTCAAGATACATGGTTCGGTAGATAAAGAAGAGGGAAGAAGTCATCTCAAGGTGAAATTCCAAATGGCGACGAACTCATAAGACCACCATTTCACCGGTTGTGTGGATATTTTGTCCCCTTGTAATAGGAGCCAAGTCCTATAAATAACATAGAACTTGCAAGTGTTTTTACCCTAAAGATTGTATGATCTGGCTTGTTAGTACATGCTAGAAACGGCATAGTTTACACATGAATATATAAAATAGCTTTTCATGTGACTAGATGGTTTTGCATTATCGACCTGCTTCAAATGATTTCATCTGTTTAGAAAATTGGGAGCTTAAAGAAGAAAAAATAAGTTGAAACTTGAGAGGAAGTGGCAAGCTGAATCTGTTAAGTTCAAAAGCAAAAGTTTACAAAAAGGCAAAAGTTTAGAGTAAGGCAGGTCGCTTCCATGAATGATCATCTTCATGGTTGTTGGATTCACTAGGTCGTTTGCACTCGCATTTCTTGCAAACAGTGTTTCTCCTATAATTCAAGAAGTCACATCTGCAGAAAGAAAAACACATTAAGACAAGAGAAGAGGAGCGGTTGGTTTAGGATATACAAAATATCATGGTCTAAATTAGAGATAGGATAAAGAGAGACGCACGAGGGACACTCCCATTCTCCAGGCTCAAGTTGCCTTTGGGGACGTTGTTCCCGACACTGCTTACACTTTTTGTTGCTAGAAAAGTTCATGAATCCACACCTAAACACACACACAAAAGTGGTATGATCAGCAAACAGGAGCAACAAAACAAGAGAACTTTACAAGATGAGATTTACAAACACAAAGAGATAGACGCAAAGGAGACAATTTAGAAGTAAGGTAAGCTGAACCAACCCAGAGCAGTTCCAGTCTCCCTTTTTCATTTCAATATTCTCCATTGACGTTCTTTTTGGCCCCTTTGCTTTGCATTTTAGACAGCTCTGGTTTCTTGAGAAGTTTGAGAAATTGCACCTGCGGAATCAGCAAGGTATATTCAGTGAGAGGGTATCGAATAAAAGGCTTCTATTCGGAGACAAAATAGGCAATATCGGAGTTAGACTTACTCAGGACATAGCCAGTCTCCTTCCTTGACAACAGCAGCAACAGATCGTCTGTCAGCAACTTCATTGCACTCTCGGCATCTTTCATTTCTCGCAAAGTTTAAAAAGTCACATCTGTAGAGAAACACAGGCAGAAAACACACAAAAACTAGGTTAAAAATTTACAGCAAAAACACTATTTTCTCAAAGCAGTGTTTTAAGCACTTCTTAGAAACCACTTACTTAGGACACGCCCAATCTGCATTGTATTGAGACCAAACACGTTGAGAAGGCTCACCACTCCTCGATTTAAAAACCCTCTCCTTAGGAGGCAACGCTACCTTGGCCGCAGGTTTGGGCAAGACAGGGTTTACAGGCTTCTCACTAAGCTCAAGCAACTCCAAAAGAAGTCTTTTTGCAGACTCATGAACAAGTTCTTTCCCTGGTGGAACTTCTCCTCGAGAGACAACCACAGAATCAAGCGCATTAAACAGCAGCAAACGCATAACATCAACGGTTCTCGCATCAGCTTCTGTGTCCTTAAGTATCACATAAGCTCTATCACAAGAGCTACGAAGCTCACAAGAACCACAAACCTAAAACCAAAAGAAAAAACATTTAATCCAATGTTTTAACAAATCCATACACTGATGAAACCAATGTTCGAAAATGACTAGACATACTAAACGGATTATTAGAAGGCGTTTTAACGAATTATTGATTAATTTTATACATAGATTTGTAAAAACTATTCTAGTTTTTGGGTTCAATTATAAACTTGTTGTGATGTAGTATAAAAATTAGACAAATTTGTGGATTCATACTACTTAATTTAAAAGATTTAGAATAATTTAGATTGATTTGAACTGATTGTAACCAATTTAAAACAGTTTAACCCGATTAGGATAATACCGGTTTTTAGAACCAAAACAATGCAAAATACTTACATCTCCTTCGTCTAATCCAACATGAGCTCGAATCCTTTTAGATGAGTTAACCGTTTTGCGAAAGAGATTAGGGCATCCACGCTCCACGAGAGCTTGTACATCTCTCGACGACAAGGACCTGAGTCAAAAGGGTAAAAGCGTCATCAGTAAATTAAAACATCTGAGGATAATAAAGGTGAAAACTTTGGTTACCTAAGAACGTCGTATCGATCGCGAGCGAAGCTGAGGCAAGCGTCTTTCACTACGTTCATTTCTTGATAAACAGTGTCGTCTTCGATGTTTTTGGTGAAGTAGCCTTTCGTCTTGAGGCGGTCGACGAAGTTTATCCACTCCGGCCATGGGTGGGGAGATTGTGAAGACGGAGAATCCGAATCCACGGTGGCGGTTTCAATTGAGAAGCATCGGAAGCGGAGAGAGACAGAGGGGAAGCGGTTGAGAGAGGGAGGAAAGGAGGGTTTTTGAGGACGGAAGATTGAGTTTCCGACTAGGAAGATTCTGGAGGAAGACATGTTCGTTGTCTCCGGTAAGATCTCACCAGAGAGAGAGAGAGAGTGAGGTTTTAGGAAGGGTTTTGGTCGGCGAATGAGTGGATAAAGGAGATGGTTTTCGAGTGTCCGACTATTTGCAGTTTGGTGCTCTTAGATATCTAAGAGTACTATTTGTTACCCCTTTTAATTACAAACTGTAGTTTTGCACCCAAATATTTTCGAGAAAGCAACCATTCAAACTCCAAACTTTCAAATTAAATAAAAAAACCTTCAACTCATGTTTGAACCAAATAAATCTTTAAATTTCAAATATTGTCCATTTTAACTCTATATATTTTGTTGACTGAATTATTTAAAAAATCTGAATAATCAACTCTTAAATGCAATTATAAAAATAGATGTATATTAGACGATGTCGTTTTAATAAAATCAGTCAAACAATATTGTTTTGCTTCTTTAAAAACTTAAAAGCATCTCTTAATTTGAAATTTTGGTTTTGTGAATAAAATGTTTTTACAAAAGAAATATAACACTGTTTGATTAATTTTTAATCAATTTTTAAAACAATATCGTATAAAGAATTAATAAGCGTCTTTTTTTGTAATCGAGTTTAACAGTTGACAATTCGAATTTCTTAAATCACCAAGTCAACAAAATTTGAAAATTAAAATATATAATATTTAAAAGTTAAAGATTTTAGTTCAAACATGAGTTAAAGATTTTGACTTTAATTTGAAAGTTCATGGTTTTAAAAGCCATTTTCTCAAATATTTTCACATGCCTTCAATTTATTTTTTATCTTGTTATTAATCCTTTTGCAAATTTCATAATGATAGTATATTCAATACTGAACTTTGAATTTTAAATGATTATTGTAATGACTTTAGAAAATTTACGGTGAATTAAAAAAATTGATATGATTTTAGCTGGAGAAGACTAAAATACTGTATATAAATGTGAGATCTAAACTTTTATTCATTATACTTTCAACTAGAAATTTCAAGAAACACATTAAAATTACAGCAAAACTAAAAAATCACTATTTTAAATATTGTAATATAAAAAGAAAATTTATAATTATAAGTCAAAATCACAACCTCGACTATTAACATTTCAAATGATTTCTTAAAATTAATGTTTAAATAGCAATAATTTATTATTTTGATATATATATATCACTCCATCTCAGAAGGAATACACTCTCTTTGTTGTTTTGTAAATCAGGGGTTTGCAAAGCCTATATTAAAAAGTTCTTTGAAGTTCGTATAAATATTTATGGTTTGGTTATTTATTTAACTAGACCATGAAAACACAAGATATTGCGTTTGCTCATAACAAAGAAACCTCGAACTTATCTCGAGGCAAACACACGCACACAAAAACAAAACGCTTTCTCATTCATTCCCCACATTCTCTCTCAGAAAGATTTAGGATCTCTCTCTCTCGCTCTCTGTTTCTTATCCAATGCAGCCGAAGCGTCGTCATTTCTTGGCTTCTCGAGCTTCGAACCTCTGGGTGCTACTGGGTCTAGGCATTGCTGGGGCTCTTCTATTAACAAAGAAGCTGAAGAAGAGAGTTCGTGAAGACTTCGGTGCCTTCATCGAGAAGCTTCTTTTGCTTCCTCCCCCTCAGCCTTCTCCTCCCAAAGCTCCTCACCCCCTCACTGGTCTCTCCTTCGCCGTCTCCGACCTGTAAGTCACTCTTTTTAGCTATGATGGTCACTTTCTAAATGGTATTAGCAGAATGAAAACTAGTCACAAGCACTTGAGAGACTTACAAAGTTTGAATCTTTGACATTCATATCACAAAGTATCAATTAAAGTTCGTATTTTTAAAATCCAACTGAATGGTATATGAACTTTAATTATGACATCTCAAACATGTTACTGAACTTTATCTTCCAAATGAAGTTTTGGGTTTTGTTTTTACTAAATCACTCTGTTGGGGGCAGGTTTGATGTGAAAAGCTATGTGTCTGGATTTGGTCATCCAGACTGGATTAGGACACACGAAGCTGCTATTTCAACATCCCCTGTGGTTTCAGTTCTTGTTGATGGTGGAGCTACATGTGTTGGGAAGACTGTAGTTGATGAATTTTCCTTTAGGTTTGTCTTCTCTTTCATTACCAATATCTTCCTGTGAATTTTGCTAAGTGTTTGTGCCTTCTTTTTTTTCTATTCCTCAGCATCAGTGGAGAAACCAAGCATTATGATACACCCACTAATCCTGCTGCTCCTTCTCATATCCCCGGTGGAGCTTGCAGTGGAGCTGCTGTTGCTGTTGCTGCTAACCTTGTAGATTTTGCTTTAGGTCATTTTCAAAAGACACTCATTATTTGCTTGACACAATGCATAAAATATCTAAATTGAAAAATGTTCAGGTATTGACACGGTTGGTGGGGTAAGAGTGCCTGCTGGATACTGCGGCGTTTTGGGATTCAGATCATCTCAAGGGATTGTATCAAACGCTGGAATCATACCAGTGTCTTCAAGTCTTGATGCTGTTGGTATGGAATGGACACATAGAATCTTTATATGGGCTTAGACTTTAGTCTTAAAAATCAACTTCTGTTGTGTGGTTCTAAGACCAGTGGCATCAGTTCTTATGAATGGATGTTTGTGTCTCTTCAGGATGGTTTGCTAGGGATCCAAACACCTTACGACGTGTTGGCCATGTAATCTTGCAACTGCCATTTGCAACTCAACGGAACCCGAGACAAATCATATTAGCTGATGACTATCTTCAGTTGTCCAAGCTTCCTGTCGACCGCATTAAGCAAGTGGTGATCAAATCAGCTGAGAAGCTTTTCGGGAGTACGCTCTCTGCTCTCTTCTTGTCATGATCCTCTGCCTCTTAGGTTTCACCTGGTTGTAATTGTAACAGCATTATCCTTTCATATTTGTGTTCAGGACAAGCGCTTAAGCATGAGAACCTGGACAAGTATATTGAAGCTAAGGTTCCTAGCTTGAAAGAGTTCTGTAGGGAAAAAGCCAATGGTGATTCACAGTCCCCGACATCAAGGCTGCTTGCGAATGTGATGCAGCTTCTTCAGATGTGAGACCATTGTTTATTTCATCATCAGAGGTGTTTGAGGTTCAAAAACATTATAACGTTAAATCCGGTCTTGGTTTTTCTGTGTAGGCATGAGTTTCTTCAAAACCATGGGGATTGGATCAGCACAGTGAAACCATCCATTGATCCTGCGGTTTACTCACAACTATCTAAGACACCAGAGCTGACCGATGAAGAGATTGAAAACCTGAACGCAGTTAGGAACCAGATGCGGGTAGCTATTGGCTCACTTCTCAAGGTGTGTTTTTAGCTGCATCATGCTGAGCCCTCTTAGTTTAATTTGTATCTTATCTTAGCTTTAGCTGTTTCTTAAACTTATAACATTATACTGTTTATGCATCAAGGATGATGGCATTCTAGTTATTCCAACAATGCCATCTGTTCCTCCAAAACTTGGTAGCAAAGAGATTATGTCAGAGGACTATCAAAACCGCGCTTCAAGTCTACTTTGCATTGCTAGCATATCAGGCTGTTGTCAGGTTAAAATCTCACTCCTTTTCATATGCTAGAAACAAAGTGACTACTAATCTATATCTGAGACTTCCATTTATCCATTTCATGATTCAGGTGACTGTGCCGCTTGGGCATCATGAGAAGTGCCCTGTTTCTGTATCTTTCATTGCAAGACATGGTGGTGATCGCTTTTTGCTAGATACGGTGCAGACAATGTATACCTCTTTGCAAGAGAACTCCAGCCTCATCGTTAATCCTAAATCATCGATAAATACTATTAGCCAAGAAGGGTCAGCTGAGATTGCAAAAGAGAAGGTTTCAAATCATTGCTCAATGGCTTATCTTATGATTTAAGGATAGTCAGTGTTTCTCATCTACTTTTGTCATATGAATTTTAAGGGAAACCAAGCATTCAAAGAGAAACAATGGCAGAAAGCAATTGGGCTGTACTCAGAAGCTATAAAGTTAAATGACAAAAATGGTACCTATTACAGTAACAGAGCTGCTGCATACCTTGAACTTGGAAGGTAATCTATATCTTCCTCAGCTGCAAGCTTCTTTTAGTGATATAGTCTCTGACAAGATCCTTATATGTACAGCTTTCGTCAAGCTGAAGCTGATTGTACCAAGGCTCTTACCCTAGATAAGAAGGTAAACTTTTCTTGTTGTTTCATCAATCACTTGCCTTGAATCTTGATCATCGTATTTTGTAAATTCTCTCAGAACATTAAGGCATATTTACGAAGAGGAACTGCAAGAGAAATGTTAGGCAACTTTAAGGAAGCTATAGATGGTAAGCTTTGCAGAGTCATTTCTGATTCTGCACCAAAAGTAAAAGAATGGAATCACTAACGTTCAAAGGACGGTTTTGTTTAAACTCTGTAGATTTCAGTTATGCGCTTGTGCTTGAGCCAAACAACAAGAGAGCGGCTATGTCAGCAGATAGACTAAAGAAAGTGTTCCTCCAATGAGCAGTTTCTGTAGTTAGTAAATCTTTGATGTTGCAGATTGTTGTCACCAATTTTTTTGCCTTTATTATAATCTGTCAAGATTTTTTTTTGTTAAATGATATTTACAACAGTAAAGGCAGGCATTTGAGTTGAAATCTTCTCCAATCTGCAAAAGTGGAACTAATGTATTTCCAATTTTGCTGAAACATCTTTTTTGATATTTACACATGTGATCGAGTAAAGAGAAAACAAAAAAAAGGGTCGAAAGTTTCTGTTAATGGTTTCAGCATTTCTGAGCAACTTTTACTTCCAAATCCACTGCAATCTGCATAGTAGAAAAGTTCTTGCATCAATGAAAACCCAAATACTGTCCATCTCTAGTCAAAATCGAAGAGTTCTTCAAGTTGCTCATCAGTCCACTGTGGCACCAAGCTGGAAGACGCCATGGGCTGAGATTTGTTGACCTTAGGTTCAGATGTAACTTCATCAGAGTTCCCTATCACGCTCTCTAGCTCATTACTTTGAGGTTCACGACTTCTACTGATCTTTTTCGCCGGTCTAATGTCTTCGGCTGTATCAATACCGGTAGTCATATCTTCTTGCAGTTGCTGTTCTCGAGTCTTTGAGGTTGTCCTGCTTGCTGCAATCTCTGTTTGGCTGGCTGAATCATGTTTTCTCGAGAGGGTCTTCTCCATTCTAACATGAAACTGGTTCTTGGCCAAACCTTTTGGCCAGGAGTTGCTTTCATCTGTTGGATTCGCTTCTTCCATTTCTACATCAGTGCTTGCTTCACTTCCTTCTGTGGCATTTCTTCTGAGACTGTTCATGATTCCTTGAGTGGTTCCTTGCTCCACAGGAAACGCTTTGGGTCGCAATTGCAAATCGTCCTCGTTTTCTGTTAGATATAATAATAGACCAAGTTAAGGTTTGAGTTTCTCGATCGCACTGTGAAAGAAACTCAAAAGAAAGTTTCATCTCCTACCATTCATAGGACCAGGATTCTTGGAACTCGTTTCAGTATGGCTCTCCTTTGGTAAAACAGGAGTATCCTTTGTGATAACCTATAAATGAAACTCTCGTTTCTTAATTATATATCTTCAATGAATCCAATGTGTATGAGTAGGTGAGAACTTCATATCATAAGAAAAACTACCTTGGAGACGTTCTTCAGTGTTATGTTAAGATAGCGTGAGGACCGTGAAGGTGCGCAGACTGCAACCTGCACAAACACTATAGCTCAGTGCATGTCCATTTGTTTACCGAAAGTAACTCGCAAACAAAATAGCCTACTTCAAAACCATGTGAATTGTTTATCACCCTGAAGAAACACAACAAACCTTGTTAAGAATCACCACTGCGCCAACTCTTATATCTCTTCCAAACTCACTCTCGGATATCACTTTCCTGTGCACGCTGGCATCGATTGTTCCAGTGGGATCCTACAACATGACACATGGTTCTGTGACAAAAACAAAAAGTGGAAAACCGTTAAGAGTTTCAGGTATGTTGTCTTTTACCTTAAGAGTCACCATGATATCACCAAGACCATTTGGAGTGCAAGTTTTGACAATTGCCACGACCTATATAAATGACCAAACACAAACCAAGTATTGTCACTAGTAAAATTTTCACTTTATTGGAAGCAGAGATAAGCATTCATGTGAGCTTATGAAGATATCATAAGCTTGTTGCTTAACCACAAAACTTGAAATAGTAACAAATAATAGGAAGACATTATTACATAATACTCCGCCTTTCTCTCCTCACACCAGTAGACTAACATAGGAAGCAAGTTCACTCTAACCAGAAACTAAAAAGCATGGTCACTCTATGTCTTTGCATAGTGGGAACTAACTAGAGGGTACTGTAAGTTGTTCATACCTGATCAACCTTACCCCAACTGCAACAAACGCTCTTAATCTCGCTCAATGGTGTCCCAATAGCATTTCCACCCTTGCTCAACAAACCTGCCAAAACATTTTTAAAAACGAAAAAGTCAAAAAACACTAAGGATTTAACAACAAACGCAACACAAAACTAACACGGGAAAGGATCAATAGACCTTGACGTCGTATGTAATCAACAGCAGAGAGCCAAGGGTCGTCAGAGAAATCCTTGTCATCCCAATCAGGCTCTTCAGCAGCTTTACATATGAACTCTTGAGTCGGAATCGGCTCTCCATGCTCATCAAACGATTTAGGATCCTTATTCATCTTCCTGCGGATTGCAACTTGAACAGTTCCAGCAGGTCCTGGGATCAAAGAGCGGGAATAACTGTCTTCAAGAAAATGATCTCGGAGCAGCGAGGAGCAGCGGCGAAGAGTATTAAACCCCGACTTTGGATTGAGCTGTGGCCTTGATGGAGATTTGGGTTTGCAAGGACGGAGGAAAGAAGGGAGCTCAGAATCGCCGAGGTCAAGAGCTTCCCATTGCTCTACTTCTTCTTGAGAATTCATATGAGTGAAGAAAGATTCATCCCCTTCTTTTGTTACCACGTTATACAACAGAAACTTCCTGATAATTTCATCAGCAATATAATCATTAAAAGAAAAACAAAATAGCATATAAATCAGTGATAGATGCATCGTATTCAATTTTGAATTTAGTTCAAACGAAACCCTAAATATCATCACTACTACTCTATGAAACTAGCGTTGTGCGTCTCTCCGGTTAATCTGCAACATAAGAAGGAACAAACCCCGGGGGGGGGGGGGGGAAAAAAATCCAGCGAACACTCTAGCAGCGAAAATCACCTTCGAATTTGACAATACCGAGAATGAGGACTTACCTTCGCTGTGTGACGGAGAAGCTACTGCAGCGAAAGAGACGACGTAACGATGAGAGGGAGAGAGACCGTTTTTGATTCTTTTTTCTTGTGTGTGATTATTTCGAACTTTCACGCTCGGACGGGTGTTTGTCTATTGGGCTTATTTAAGGTAATAAATGGGCCGGATCAGATCCCTCTTTAAACCCCCATTACTCCAAATTCAAAATTTTTTTTTTTTCTGAATTCGTTGAATTAAATTAAAACTAGGTGACCGGCCTGTACCCTGTGCGGGTATATACATATACAAATTATGGATTTAATAATACAAAGTTTTAGAAGTAATAGATTTTATATCATAAGACCACCGTCTTTGAGGTAAAGCATCAGACACAGAAAAATGCTGGTACACAATATTTTACAAGGAGGAGATGGAACAAAGTAACTTCAGTATCAATAGGTAGTTATTGTGTGTATTTATAATTTAACTTCAGTATCAATAGGTAGTTATTGTGTGTATTTATAATTGTAACATCACAAAAAAAATTTTGTGTTGAAGGTTGAATTTTATTTTCCAAATCAGAAATTAATAGTGTGTATTTTTATAAGTAACATATTTCTATTATCACTAATTAGAATTGTATTGTATATGTGTTGTAATTCTTTATTTTAGGTGAAACATATTATTATGCATAAATTTTTCGTAAAATGTATGTAGACAGATTAAAAGAAATGTTACACATATCCCTCTCGCTCTCTCTCTTTCGCTATCTCGCTTTCGCTCTCTCTCTATCTCTCTCTCTCTCTCTCCATCCCTCCCTCTCTCTCTTTCCCTCTGTCTCTCTCCCTCCCTCCCTCTCTCTCTCCCTCTTTCTCTCTCACCCTCTTTCTCTCTCTCTTTCTCTCTCTCAATCTCCCTCAGTCTACCTCTCTCTCTCTCTCTCTCTCTCTCTCTCTCTCTCTCTCTCAATCTACCTCTCTCTCTCTCTCTCTCTCTCTCTCTCTCTCTCTCTCTCTCTCTTATTTTGGGACAACGGAATTTAATTAGGTCATTAAAGATTAGTACATTTGATACATCAATTCACTTTTTGTTTCAGTGATCTAATAAAACTTATAAGACAATACTATGAAAAAGAAGATGTAATAAAACTGAAGAACTTATACGACAATAATGNCTCTCTCTCTCTCTCTCTCTCTCTCTCTCTCTCTCTCTCTCTCTCTTATTTTGGGACAACGGAATTTAATTAGGTCATTAAAGATTAGTACATTTGATACATCAATTCACTTTTTGTTTCAGTGATCTAATAAAACTTATAAGACAATACTATGAAAAAGAAGATGTAATAAAACTGAAGAACTTATACGACAATAATGAGAAAAGACTTTTATTATTAATTTATAACATTACAATAACGCGAATTCCACAAAAGTAAAACAGAAAATTCAATTAATAGAAATTTTAACAAAAACCACAGCTTAACCAATAGAAGAGTATACTGTTGATAACACGTTCAAAACTTAAACAACGCCAATGAGCTTCCGTTCAAAAGTATGATTGATTCAATCTACTCCAAGTCTGAAAGAACATGTAAAAAATTATATTTACCCAAACACAATTTCTAATGACGTTTTCTTTTGATAAAAACATGAGTTTACTTGGTTTATCCGTATTTTTTCTTTGGTTGCATAATATATCTTTTGATAGTTTTTTCCAAGTAGCATTCCAAACGTTTTCTGGATTTGTGATACTATGTGTTAGTAATAGGACACAAGACAGCTTGTGTAGATCATTTCCTGATGCCCAATAACATGCTTCTTTAATAACTTCAACATTTTCTTCATCATAGTCCTTGCAGATAACAGAAGAAGTTATTTTTTAAAAAAAAAACGGTATTAGATTAAGCTTTGAAGAAAATAAGCAACTTAAAATGTAAACCATAAGAAAATGTAAGATATATATAACAGTGTTAATATGGTTGCACGATAAGTTAGTATCAAATAATATATTCATATTATTTCTTACATTCTTTTTATTGCTATATAGATGTTCTGAATTTAATCATATTCAAAATAAGGTAAGTTTTTAAAAATGAATTAACAAATTAGAAACATTAAGGTAAATTGAATTAAAATAATGTAATAAATATGATTTGAAGTTGTACAAGTACTATGTGTTCAAAATAAGTTTATAAAGACGAATTAACAAATTAGAAACATTAAGGTAAATTACATTAAAACAATGCAATAAATATAATTTGAAGTTGCAAAAGTAATATGTGTTCAAAATAAGGTAGGTTATTAATAAACTAAAAACATTAAGGTAAATTACATTTAAACTATAGATATTTAAATATTAAATGATATATAATAAGGAAAGAATAAATATAAAAAGTAATTGATATAAACTTTTGATTAATAAATATTACTATATATATATTTAATTTTAATTAAAAAGATCATATAATTGCAAACCAAAAAAATAATATCAATTTTAATTAAAAAGATCATAAAACAAAATCACAATCAGCAAACCAAAGAAATATATATGTATATATAAACTTATAATTCTAAACAATAATATAAATCTACTAATAAAAAAAAAGTATTGGCAGCACAAAAAGATGCTATTGAGATTGACTTCTCTTAAAATCGACAGGAAAGAGTTAAATTGACTTCACGTAAGCAGAAATCACTAAATTGACTTCTCTTTTAGTGTATACGGGATTGCCCAGATAATCAAATTTCGAAGAGAAAAAAATGAAAGATTCAACGTAAACTGCGACACTACACACTAGGGATTTAAGTTTTCAAATACAGCACCGAGTTCGACACTGGATTAACATTCATGAAAGAAGAGAATCTATTTTGTGGGACTTGTTCATCATAAACTTAAACAAACAACGCAAGAGAACAAAAACAAGACATATGAAACAGGAAACACAAATATCAAACCAAATCTCCATTAGACCGTGTCATCTTTGCTGATCTTCGCTGTATCATTCCAATTTTGCTAAAGTGACAATCATCTCATTGACTCTACAAAATTTGTTGGAGTATGGAATATGGAGAACTTGGGAAGAAGATTAGAGATTAGGCCTTTTGAATGAATTGAATAAGCCCATGAAATGATTAGCCAGGTTTTTCAAATCCAACTAAACCTGTTTTTTCTTATTTATTTTTGCCATAAAGATTTATATTTCCTTTTAAGATTTTTATTTTGATGGACAAATCACAAATACAACTAATGGTTTTTCACTTTTTTTTTTTTTGTACTGGGGCTTAATGATTTTTCACTTTACAATAAAGAATATCAGAAAACTTTGAATTACAAGTAATCAAACATCTTTCTTTATTTTATTTTCTTCACATGTATCAAACTTCTTTGTGTGAATAAATTTGTATATTCTAAAATCGAAAAATCTTCTATTTTAAAAGTATTGATAGAAAATAAAATATATCACACAAAGTCTTAATGAATCGATGGATGTTCATTATAATGGGAGTAGTTTCTTGCGTAGAATATATCAATATTAAATTATTTTTATCACGATATAATATTATGGGGGACATGGTAGGCGATTAGTATCCTTATTATTAACTGATTTAAATTTTTAATAGGATCACATTGGTATTTTTGGTGGATATTCCCTAATAAAATATTGGTAAATTGAATAAATAATATTTTTGTTTTGTCCACATGAAGATTTGTTAGTTTAAGTCTTTCCAAAATTAAACTATATTTATGGGTAAGTTTTTATTAATATTAGACTAAAGTTAGATTCAAATATTTTAGTATAACTTATAGCTTGTAAAAAAAAATTATTTCACCTAGAATCAGATTTAATAGTACAGATTAGTTAATGTGAAAACTAAAGCCACTATCATTTTTAATCCACTAATTACTTTAATTCGTTTGAAATGCTACCATTATAAATAGAGGTTAATTCCTTTTAAATTTTGATTATTCACCACCAAATTAGTGTTTAATATAATTCACTATGAATTATAACAAAAAGTCCAAAGGCCCAAGCCCATCCACCAATATCTCTCTCTCTCTGTCCACTCTCTATGAAAGCGCTCAACGGTCACCATGTGAGGCAGAGAATGACGCTAAGCGGAGAAATCTGAGGAAAAATTCATCATCTGAGCTCAAAACTGTGAAACTTGATCGATGCATCAAAGAGGAAAATCGAACAACCGTAGATCAAGGAGCTTCTCTAGATCAAGACTCGCCGTTGAAGGCCATTGGATTGAAACTCTCACCCCCCACATTACACACATTCCTCTATCGTCTTCTTCTTCTCCGACCTAACCTAACCTAACCTAATCTAATCAATGGCGACACCTTACAGTAATAGAAAAACTCTCCTCTTTATATATATAAATTCGTCATTTTTCGGAGTCGTCACTCACATGGAATCTTTTGCTTTTGTTGTTTTTGTCTTTTTCCTTTTTCGAAATTAATTAATCGGATCATAACACTTTCGAAATTATATATTTTTCTTGGCCCCTCTTCAGGAAATTAATCACGTTTTGAATTGTATTTTTAACAAAATTAAAATAAAAAGCATTACTTACTAAGTAGGTGACTCTTCGTTATCTCGAAAGTTGGAGGGAATCTTTATTTATTTTGTGTATATAATTGGAACAGAGGAAGAGAGAGACATCCAAAAGAGTTATTGGATGGAGCACTCAAGTGATTTGACTGTTGAGGCTATGATGCTTGACTCCAAAGCCTCTGATCTTGACAAAGAAGAACGTCCTGAGGTTTGTTTCTCTTATTCTTATTGGATATGGAACTCTTGAATTGTGGGATTGTGATTGGTTCTAAGCTGTGTCTTTATTTATCACCTTTTTTAAAAAAAAGTCGTCGTCTTGCATTTCTTTGATGTTCCTATTTGAGATTCTAATGAATTCTGGATTGTGATTGGTTCTAATAGCTGGATTCTCTTGACTTTTAATGAATTGAGCTTACAGTTCCTGATCACCTTTTTAAGGTCGTTGGCTTTTTCAACTGATATATGGTTTTTTTTTTCCAGACAGTTTAGTAGTTTTTATAAACAGAACTAACTTCAGGAACATGTGACTTTCTGTTTTTGATACGCCTTTTTAATTGTTTCTGAGAGGTAGATTCTCTTGATTATAGTGAGTGGAGCTTAGAAACATGTGACATAGTGTTCTTGATCATCTTTTTAAAACGTTATGGCCTTTTGAATTGCTACAGGCATCTTTTTTGTTTTATAGTTAAACAGTTAGTCCTTGACTGATGTGTTTCTTTGCTATAAGGTACTCTCTTTAATCCCACCGTATGAAGGTAAAACGGTGCTGGAGCTTGGAGCTGGTATTGGTCGTTTCACTGGTGAATTGGCTCAAAAGGCTGGTGAAGTTATCGCCCTTGACTTCATCGAAAGCGCCATTAAGAAGGTTTACATTCTTACTCCTTTGGTTTGCTAGCTCTTGTTGTGTTATAAAGTGACGTTTTGTATTAAGTTTCTTTGGTGATGTTGTTCTTGTAGAATGAAAGTGACAATGGGCATTACAAGAACGTCAAGTTTATGTGTGCTGATGTGACATCTCCAGACCTGAAGATCGAAGATGGATCTGTCGACTTGATTTTCTCAAATTGGTTGCTCATGTATCTGTCTGATAAAGAGGTAATATCCGTTTCTCATTATGTGATTCTTTTCTTACTGCAAAAAAGAGAGGAAAGTCTAAATCTTGTAGATGGGATGCAGGTGGAACTTTTGGCAGAAAGAATGCTTGGATGGGTAAAGCCAGGAGGACACATTTTCTTCAGAGAATCTTGCTTCCATCAATCTGGAGATAGCAAGCGTAAATCAAACCCCACTCACTACCGTGAACCAAGATTCTATACCAAGGTTCATTCTTTTTTTTTTTATTTGGCTTTAACTTTAGGAAAGGGACATACATCTTTTGTGGTTTTAGTGAGCTTCTATAAAGACTGAACCAGTTGGATTAGTATCATCTTGTATATGAGCGAGATCTAAATGCTTATGTTATGCACAGCAGTGAGAGAACAGCGACATGAAGACTCTTTTAATATATAATTCTGTATATCTAAGTTCGATAAGGCGTTAAGAGAGTGTGTACATATCATCAGTTTATAGGCTTGTTGTCACTTGGCTCCATTCTAGAGCTCTTTATTTTAGAGTGAGCCAAATTTTAAAACGTATGGTGTAATGCAGGTTTTCCAGGAATGCCAGACACGTGATGCTTCTGGCAAATCATTTGAGCTCTCTATGGTTGGTTGCAAATGCATTGGGGCTTATGTGAAGAACAAGAAGAATCAAAATCAGGTAACAAAGTATTTTCTGTATCAGTTTATCTACTTTTCTTATCATTTGATGGTACCTTAAAAAAAAAAAATTCATCCATGTGATGTCAGATATGCTGGATTTGGCAAAAAGTAAGCGTGGAGAATGACAAGGACTTCCAGCGTTTCTTGGACAATGTTCAATACAAGTCCAATGGGATCTTGCGCTACGAGCGTGTCTTTGGGCAAGGATATGTGAGCACTGGTGGTTTTGGTAAAACTCCCATTTCTTAAAGCGTGTATGCATGTGTAGTTGTCTCCCTGCCTCTTGTCTCTAAGTTGTTGTTTTAACTTAACAGAGACAACTAAAGAATTTGTGGCGAAGATGGAGCTCAAACCAGGACAGAAAGTCCTAGATGTTGGTTGTGGTATCGGTGGAGGTGACTTCTACATGGCTGAGACTTTCGATGTTCATGTTGTTGGTATCGATCTATCAGTCAACATGATCTCTTTCGCCTTGGAGCGTGCTATTGGACTCAAATGCTCAGTCGAGTTTGAAGTCGCTGATTGCACCACAAAGGCATATCCTGATAACTCTTTCGACGTCATTTACAGCCGTGACACTATTCTCCACATCCAAGTAAGCAAACACTCTTGAAAATGCATATCCCTTTTGGTAGTAATCAGCATTTGTCTCTTCTTCTTTCAGGACAAGCCGGCTCTGTTCAAGAGGTTCTTCAAGTGGCTTAAACCAGGTGGGAGAGTTCTCATCACGGACTATTGCAAGAGTGCTGAAACTCCGTCTCCTGTATTCGCTGAGTACATCAAACAAAGAGGATATGATCTCCATGATGTTCAAGCTTATGGACAGGTTTGTGTGCATAGAAATAAAACCTTCATCGTTTTTTTTTATGTTCTTGAGGGTATTGTGAGTCATGAACCTTCTTCTGATAGATGCTGAAAGAGGCAGGCTTTGAAGATGTGATCGCAGAGGACCGTACTGATCAGGTGACTACCACACATACACATATGTATAAATGTACATTTCTTTGTATATTCTAGCATAAACCATTTTATATTTTTCACAGTTTGTACAAGTCCTGAGGCGTGAGTTAGAGAAAGTGGAGAAAGAAAAAGAAGAATTCATCAGCGACTTCTCAGAAGTAAAAGAACATTTCTTACTTACCAACTCATTCAAATAGAAACACATCTTTGATGAAGCCTCTTTCTCATCCATCACAAAATCTTTGTCAAAAAATGTATTTGTGGTATTGCAGGAGGATTACAATGACATTGTAGGAGGATGGAAAGCAAAGCTTGAAAGGTCTGGCGAGCAGAAATGGGGATTATTCATCGCCAACAAGAAGTAAAATAGTCCTATTGTTTTTACCCCAAAGCGATAAACTTTCCTTTCCCTTCAATAAAAATAAAAGTGCTCCTTGGAGGACAAACACTTGCTTGTTTTTGACTATCATGGACCGTAAATTGTAAACTCATGTGTTGTTTTCCTTTTCTTAATCTACTTGCTTTGATTCTTACAAATTATCATGCATATGCATCAAAAGAGAAGTATCTTTAGATCATGACTCAAATGCAAAACAATATATAGGTTCAGCTACATTTCCTATGATTATGCTGCTTGACTATGAGCTAAAGCTATACTAGAGTCCAGACTACACGGAAGATCTT